TGTCAAATCATGAAATTTGTTTTCTACTCTTAAAAGAAAAACATATTTCTTTATGTACTTATCTAAAACAATAGTAGTCATTACCTTTATCATTATAAAATTAATTATTTCTAGAACAGTGGCAAAGCTTAGCAAGGTTGTTGTCCAAACAAGTGTTCCAATCTTAAAAAAGTCAAGAAAAACAAATTAAAAAGGTATAAAGGGTTAAGAAAAAAAAATGTTAGAAAAAAAGTTTAAATGATAAGACTGGATGAATAAATATATTGCCACCTTGGAATTGATTACTCATTCGTGTTTACAATATTTGAAAGAAAATTATTCAATTGAGCTATTAATGGCCATCATTATATTAAGAATTTATTATTTTTATAATAAAAAATCAAGTTATTTCGGTACAAAAATAAATCTACGCTCACTATTTAGAAAAAATAAAAGTCATATTTTTACTTTCAACACCTCTCTCTTAGGACATTATTTTGGCAGTGTAGTGTAATAAGGTCTACACAAGTAATTTTTTTTAATAAAATTGATTTCCAATAAACGCATTAGTTAGATAGCTTATATTGAAATATTTTAATAAGTTCATAGTTTCCAGTATAAAATATATTTAAATTTATGTCACTTTTAATAATTAATTTCTCCATTTTTACATTTTCATTATATTTTTACACCATTTTCCTATTTTTTTTCTTTATACCGGTACACCTATAAAATGAAATATACATTTATTGTTACTAACATTAATAACTAATTTTCTTTCAAATTATTATGATTATTTGTTTCTCTTAAATTACTTTACAAAAGAAAAATTAAAATAATAAATATATATAAGAAATAGAGATTAATGATACTAAGGTAAAAAAAGAAAAAAGAAAATGGTTAACTTGCTTGAAATTGAAGTAGCTATATTTTGAGATGACCATTAAAAAATTGTAAATTTTATGTAATTTACAAGTGAACGATAATAAGATTCTTACTTTGGGCAGCAAAAGTTATTTGAGAGTCATCACTGAGTAAGTTACTTTTACATTTACTAATATTAAGATAGGATAAGATTAGAATTTGGCTAGAATTGAACATCTGAACACCAATCTCAAAATTCATCCACCAGAAAAAAGAACAGGATATTTTTCCTTTCACGATTGTGTTGTTTGGCCTTTTATTGACAAGAAATAATACAATCATAGCATAACATACTTTAAAAAAACAAACACCCACAAAATGGTACAGCAACATAGGATACATATGGAAACAAATTGGAAAGTAAGGTAAAGGAAATTTGCATGTTTAAAGTCAATGGAAAAGCAACAGCTTCAACTTTTGACAGGTGTAAGTAATATCTATATATATATATATATATATAT